AACCTTGACTCGATCGCGGCCCCGATCGCTCAAGGCTGGATTCCGTCGGGCCCCGTGGCGTTGCCGCGGCCCTCGGCGCTTCCGCATCGCTCTGGCATGCAGAATGCAACCTTGAATGCCTTCGCCGGCGTCGCTGGCGCGCCATTGCCGCACGAACCTACCGTCAAGGGGGGGAGAGAGAGATGGCGTGGGAGGAGGAGCAGGAGGATGAGGGGGAAAGAGAGAGAGAGAGAGATCGTGGTGGGAGGATGGGACAGATGATGGGACAGAAGCTGAAGGATGAGGGGAGGAAGGAAGGATAGGGGAGGCCAAGGCGTCATTTTGGCCGCCAGCGTAGTGTCCGACCAGGTGGCCGCATCGACTGCGGCGAAGACTGACGTGCACACAAGTCCTGGCTAAGGAGTGCGAGTCCCCTCCTCTTCCTCCTCCTCCTCCTCCTCCTCCTCCTCCTCCTCCTCGCTCCACACGAGTCCTGGCATCTACGAGCCCTTCGAGTGCCCACGCAACCAACCCGCCTCCCTGGCGGCGCGCGCGTTGAGGTGGCGCGAGCGGGGCGGCCTTAGTCTGAGAGGGCGGCATGGGCCCTCGCAGAAGCTCCTCCTCCTCCTCCTCCTCCTCCTTCTCCTGCACCCGCACCCGCACCCACACCCGCACCTGCACCCACCCCACCCCACCCACTCACCCACCCCCGCCCGCGCCCGCCCTCTCCCGCCCGCCCGCCCACCTGCCCGCTCGCTCGCACGCACCCACACCCGCACCCGCATCCGCACCCGCACCGGCACCCGCACCCGCACCCGCTCACTCCCGCACGCACCCGCGCGCACCCGCACGCACCCGCACCCCCACGCGCACGCTCCCGCACGCACCAGCACCCACCCGCACCCGCACCTGCACCCGCACTCGCACGCACCCGCACGCACCCGCACACACCCGCACGCGCCGCACCCGCACGCACCCGCACTGCACGCACCCGCACGCACCCGCACCTGCACCCCGCACGCACGCACCCGCACGCACCCGCACGCCGCACCCGCACGCACCCGCCGCACGCAACCGCACGCACCCGCACGTACCCGCACGCACCCGCACGCACCCGCACGCACCCGCACACACCCGCACGCACACGCACACACCTGCACGCACCCGCACGCACCTGCACACACCCGCACAAACCCACACACACACCCACCCACACCCGCACACACCCACCCGCACACACCCACACGCACACACACACACACGCGCACACACACACACGCACACACACACGCACACACACAACACACACACACATGCACACACACACACGCACACACAACACACACACACGCACACACCACACGCACGCACACGCACAGCACACAACACACACACAACACACACAACACACAACACAACACACACACACACACACACCACACACAAAGAACACGTCACGCTCGACATGCCATGCGGCACGGGTATTGCGTGATGCCGCCGCGTGCCGCAATCCCCTCGTCCTCCGCCCTGTGTGCTGGAGCGCCGGCGAGGCGCCGAATAAAACAAGGGCAACAAAAACACCAAGGGCAGCGGGCCCGGTCTGAGAGCGGGGCAACGCAGGGCGACGAAGGGCAACATTGAAGACAAACTGTTCCGCCTTCGGGCGACGCCTGTCCCAGGGGGGCTGGAGAGTTCACTTGCCATCACTTGGACGTCCATGAAGAAGAAAAAACTGCATAAATAAACTTTTGGCACTCCGTGCGGATTTCTTGGATCCGCGCTGGACCCCCTCTCTGGCGCGCGGAGCGCGCCAGGGGCGGCGCCGCAGGCGCCGCCGGGGGGGGCCAGCGCGGATCCAAGAAGCTTATGTTTATGGCGTTTTTCCTTCTTCGAGTCCATTCCCCGTGCATTTGTCAGGTCCGTGCATTTTTGTTGCGCAAGATGATCCCAGATGCTCCTCAAGGCTTCCTCGCAGAGCGAAAACTGCGCACGTCCGAGCGAGGCCAGATCTGCACGCCGACGTGGCCGCGCAAGGGTTTTGATAACCTTGCCGGCCGCCCTGGGGTAGGCGCCCCCCACCGGCAGACAAGTTTGTTTTTACAGGCCGCCCCTCGCCGTTGCAGAGGAGGAACGAAACATCTGCATCAGCATCAACTTTCGGACCTCCGAATATTTCTCCTCCTCCTCCTCCTCATCATCCTCCACCTCCTCCTCCTCCTCTTTTTCCTCATCATCCTCCTCCTCCCCCTCTCCTCCTCCTCCTCCCTCCTCTCTCCTCCTCCTCCTTCCTCCCTCTCCTCCTCCTCTTCCTCCTCCCTGCTCCTCCTGCTCCTCCTTGCTCCTGCTTCTCCTGCTATCTCATGCTATCTCCTATCTCCTCCTCCTCCTCCTCCTCCTCCTCTCCTCCTCCTCCCTCCTCCCCCTCCCTCCCCCCTCCTCCCCCCCCTCCTCCCCCCTCCTCCCCTCCTCCTCCTCCTCACTCCTCCTTCTCTTCTCTTCTTCTTCTTCTTCTTCCTCTTCCTCCTCTCCTCCCCTCCTCCTCCTCCTCCTCCTCCCTCCTCTCCTCCTCCCCCGTCCTCCTCCTCCTCCTCCTCCTCCTCCTCCCTCCTCCCCTCCTCCTCTCCTCCTCCTCCTCCTCCTCCTCCTCCTCCTCCTCCTCCTCCTCCTCTTCTTCCTCCTCCTCCTCCTCCTTTTCCTCCTCCTCCTCCTCCTCTTCCTCCTCCTCCTCCTCCTCCTCCACATCCTCCTCCTTCTCCTCATCTGCATCTGCTGTATCATCATCGGGTTAATGCTGGCTCTCCTCTTCCTGCGAAACCGGAGGTGAGCCAAGAGAGAGACAACGATGGCTCTCCCGCCCGGCCCACGCCCGCTCAAAGCCGGCCCCCGGGACCCCTCCCAGAGGTCCACGCCATACTTTTGCGGAGATATGCGTCGAGGCGGACATCTCCGCCCCACTTTTTCGCATCAACTGGGGCATTTCCGACGCAATGAAGATCAACCAAAATACGGCAGATGTAAAATCTGGAACAGCCGCGGCGACGAGAATCCTCCAGGAGGCCAACGAGAGAAAGAAAAACGCCAGGGAGAGCTGTCCATCCGCAGACTGCAGGCTGCAGCACTGCCGCTGCATTGCGGACGACCTGAGGCCATGGGGGCGTCTAAGAGGGGGATCGGCCAAGCGGGGGGCACCCAAGAGGGGGGCTGGCGAATCATGCCCCGAGGCACGTGAGCGACGGAAAGGAAATGGAGTCGACTGCGCAAAGATTTCCGCGCAGGCTGCCCGCGCCAGGTCGCACGTGAGCGCCCTCGTTTTTCCAATGCGGTGTGCCGCGCTGGCTGCTCGCGTCAGCCACCGCGTGAGTTCTCTATGTGATTTTGCGTAAAGTCGGGGCGTTGACCTAAGGAACCCTAAATAAGGAACGAGGCCTCTTTTTTTCCAAAAGTTAAACTTCGATTTCCCATCGAACACATAAGGAAACCCTGAGGCAAGCTGTGAAACAATTAAGGAACACGGAGCCCCTCCACAACGAAAAGGGTTCCTTCTTCAACGCACCGACTGTGAGACCCGCTTCTCGTGGTCGCTCACGTGCGCGGGACAGGGGCGGGGGCAGGGCGGAACGTGCTGAAAGAAGAAAAGGTGGCCATCCTCTGCGGGCGGGAAGTATACTGGCCACGGCCATGATCCACCGACCCCCGCTTGCCGGGCGTGAGAAGGCGTGTGACACATTTGGTTGACCCTCTCCCCCTCCCCCCCTCCCCGAGGGTCCAAAGTCGCGTTTGAGGGAAGGAGGGGCTGGGCAGGAGGGGACCCCTGGGCTCCCAAACGCACCCCCGGGGCCTCTGGAGCCTCCAAGTCTACTCCGTGGACTCTTAGCTGACTCAGGCTGGGCTCCAACATACCGAGGAGAGCTAAACAATAAACGAGATTGCCTCAAGACTGCCCAAGTGGCTTCCAAGACGCCCCGCGAAGGCTCCAAGAGGACCCCCCGACAAAGAGGGACAAATCGCCACGATCCCCTTGGGAAACGTATATGTTTTGGTGTGTTCGCCTCATTGGTCTCAGCAGCGTCCAAGACTGCTCAAGAGGCCACCAAGGTCGCTCCGAGACGGTCTCAGAGGGCCCTAAGACGAAGAGGGCCCAAGAGTCGCCCAAGATGGCTCAGAAGGCCGCAACAGAGCCCTGAATGGGACCCAAGAGGGGCAACTCGAGTTCATATTTCGAGCCCTCCACCCCACGAGGACCCCCGAGACCCAGCATGCGCCCAACACAGCCCGAAGGCCCAAAAGAGGCTCCCAAAAGAGCTCACCCGTGGATTTTGTATTTCCTCTGAGGTCGGCGGAATGGCGTAAGCATCTTGAATCCGCCGGCCCCCTTGTGGGGCCACCAGGCTGTAGGCCCGTGATTCGCAGTTTCCTGTACCAATTGTAGCTTGTAGTTTCCAGTGTTACAGTTCTGCTTCTTGCTGGTTACTGTAACTAACTGATTGACCGCGCGAGGGGGGGGGAGGCCCAAACGGAATTTTTAGCGTCTCCTGGGCGCGTTGTCTGAATTGCTGGAGGGGCTCGAAATCGACACCCCTCACGCAGATCCGCGGGGTCAGGGTCCAAAAACACAGGGGATGTGCCACATTTCTGAAATTCGATGCCACCCCTCACGCAGATCCGCGGGGTCAGGGTCCAAAAGCACAGGGGATGTGCCACATTTCTGAAATTCGGTGCCACCCCTCACGCAGATCCGCGGGGTCAGGGTCCAAAAACACAGGGGATTTGCCACATTTCTGAAATTCGGTGCCACCCCTCACGCAGATCCGCGGGGTCAGGGTCCAAAAACACAGGGGATGTGCCACATTTCTGAAATTCGGTGCCACCCCTCACGCAGATCCGCGGGGTCAGGGTCCAAAAACACATGGGATTTGCCACATTTCTGAAATTCGGTGCCACCCCTCACGCAGATCCGCGGGGTCAGGGTCCAAAAACACAAGGGATGTGCCACATTTCTGAAATTCGGTGCCACCCCTCACGCAGATCCGCGGGGTCAGGGTCCAAAAACACATGGGATTTGCCACATTTCTGAAATTCGGTGCCACCCCTCACGCAGATCCGCGGGGTCAGGGTCCAAAAACACAGGGGATGTGCCACATTTCTGAAATTCGGTGCCACCCCTCACGCAGATCCGCGGGGTCAGGGTCCAAAAACACGGGGGATTTGCCACATTTCTGAAATTCGGTGCCACCCCTCACGCAAATCCGCGGGGTCAGGGTCCAAAAACACAGGGGATTTGCCACATTTCTGAAATTCGGTGCCACCCCTCACGCAGATCCGCGGGGTCAGGGTCCAAAAACACATGGGATTTGCCACATTTCTGAAATTCGGTGCCACCCTTCACGCACATCCATCGCAAGGCGTGGTAACCCAAACTGCGAGAACTCCCTCGGCCCTTTAATTGCAAGGTGTGGTAACCAAGCCCGTAAACCATACACGTCTTACCAATCGCCAGGTGTGGTAACCCCTCTTGTGATCAGTTGGTTTTGCTGATTGCGAATCGGCATCGCATGAAGTTTCGATACTGCTTCACGACAGCGCCAAGGCCTCATGACTTAGCTCTTCCATGGCCCATTCTCCGAGAGAGGAGGCCGGCGGCAGGGGGCGAAGCCCTTACGGATATCCACCCCCTCCCTAGACAATATCCACCCCCTCCCTAGACCTCCCCCCCCTCTTCGACGCCTAACGGCTTTCGGGACAAACTCGGGTCTCTGGCGGTACAGGACGATCCGGGCAACTCCAGAACACCCGACCCTAGTCAACATCGACCCTAATCATCACCCCCGACATATTTGTCGGGGGGGGGGCTTGGGGCCCCGGGTAACGGTAACGCTTGGGCAGGGTGGGGCATGTCTCGGCGGGGGTGCGCTGAGATCGATACAATTTGCACGCGAACGCCAACATTTGGGAAGGTGGGGGTTCCAAGCCCCTCCCCCCCCCTAGATACGATCGGTACCGCCAAATGATAAAAAACATCTCCCCCTCACACCCCCAGTCCTTGCAGGCCCTGCCACGGCATAAACATAAACAATCGGAGGTCCGCGCAGATCTCTTGGATCGGCGCTGGACCCAGGACACCCAGGCGGACCTTCGAAAGGTTAGGCGACTTATGGTTGTGCAGTTGCTCCACCCTCGACCTCGAGCTGGAATCGGCATACCACAGATACAGCCGGCCCGTATCACAAGGATGCGCGATAAGGATGCAAGGGCCTTGGACGCCCATGCAAAGCTGCTCGAGCGGAGTGCGGCCAACGAAAGAAGCCAAGGACCGAGGAGGCAAGGATGTAAGGGTGCCCTTGGGAAGCTTGCCCATCCTTACTTCGGGAACGGCCAAGAGGGGGGTGTCTAAGAGAGGGGGGTGCAAATCATGACCGGCGGCATGTGCGAGGCCCAGCTGGGGGGCCAGGGACGTAACGAAACAAGAAGAGGCGCCACGAAATCTGGGGAAATATCATGGCCCACGCCATGATATCCACCCCCACTCTAGTCATCACCCCCCTCTTTACCGCCCCCGATTGCTGTGCGGGTTGACTGTAGATCGGCGAAGGACCCCGAAGAGGAGGAGGAGGAGGAGGAGGAGGAGGAGTAGGAGAAAAGGGGGGAGGAGGAGAGGAGGCGGAGGAGGAGGAGGAGGAGGAGGAGGAGGAGGAGGAGGAGGAGGAGGAGGAGGAGGAGAGGGGAGGAGGAGGAGGGGGGAGGGAGGAGAAGGAGGAGAGGAGGAGGAGGAGGAGGAGGAGGAGGAGGGAGAGGAGGAGGGAGGAGGAGGAGGCGGAGGAGGAGGGGGGGGAGGAGGAGGAGGAGGAGGAGGAGGAGGAGGAGGAGGAGGAGGAGGAGGAGGAGGAGGAGGGAGGAGGAGGAGGAGGAGGAGGGGAGGAGGAGGAGGAGGAGAGGAGGAGGAGGAGGAGGAGGAGGAGGAGGAGGAGGAGGAGGAGAGGAAGAGGAGGAGGAGGAGGAGGAGGAGGAGGAGGAGGAGGAGGAGGGGGAGGAGGAGGAGGAGGAGGAGGAGGAGGGGGAGGAGGAGGAGGAGGGGGAGGAGGAGGAGGGTCAATCTGCACGGTCCTGGGCGGGGTGAGCTCTCGGGCCCTATGTCGGCGATGCGTGGGCATGTGGGGTTCGATGCATCCCCCCTCCGGAGCTCTTCCCCGTCCCGCGGTTTGCGGGCCACGCATAGAGTTCTGTCGGGCGTGTCCCCCTACAGGGGGGATTTTCGACGAAAAATGAAAAATACCCTAAAAATACCCCAGAAAGATAAAACAGTTTTCAAAAAATAGTCCCCAGACTGTTTTTGGACTATCTTTTGGGTATTTTTGGGGTACTTTCAATTTTTCGTCGAAAATCCCCCTGTAGGGGGACAGGCCCGACTTAAGCATAGAGGGGCCCTGGGGCACACACATAAATACACACAACCAGCAGGATCCCCCATATTTCCCCATATCGTTCAATTTTCGTCTCCCCCCCCCACACTTCCCGGGTTTTCGCAGATCTTCCTGGGAGTCGACGATGCATTGTGTCTGTGTGTTTCTTCCCCTCCTGAATACAGTCGGCCCGTATCACAAGGATGCGCGATAAGGATGCAGGGGCATTGGACGCCCATTTCGAAGCCCTTCGAGCGGGGCGCGGCCAACGAAAATGGCCATGGATGGACCGAGGAGGCAAGGATGCAAGGATGCCCTTGAGAAGAATGCCCCTCCTTCCTATGCGGGTTGATTGTAACTTTAGGTCGGGCATGTCCCCCTACAGGCGGATTTTGGACGAAAGCTCAAGAATACCCCAAAAAATATGCAAAAAATGTCCAGCATAGTGGAAAAATCGTCCCCATACCATTTTTTGACTATTTTTGAATAATCCTCCTGTAGAGGGACGCGCCCGACTTAACTGTAAGTGTGGCCTCCAACACCCGCTCGGAGAACGAACCAGCCATCCCCCCAGGACGACTCTCGCCGAGGCGCAGCCCGCGGGAGCGCATCCCGAGGCAAGGAAAAACCGCCGAGGTCGATGGGCCTGTTTTCCACCACCACTACCATACGTTGGAGGGGGGAAGGAGGAGAAGGAGGAGAAGGAGGAGGAGGAGGAGGAGCAGGAGGAGGAGGAGGAGGAGGAGGAGGAGGAGGAGGAGGAGCAGAAGAACCTCCTTCCCCTCCAACTTATGGTGGTGGTGAAAACCATTTTTTGATCCGCAGGGCGAGAGCGAACCTCTTCCGCTAAAAGCTAGGCGGGCTACGCGCAGCTTTAATTAGGGAGACAGCGTGGTGGTGAAAACAGGCCCATCAGAGAACCTGCCAGTGTGGCATTTTCTCGACCTCGTAGGGGGGTGCGCAGGGGGTGGTCTCCGAGCGCGGCGTCTATGCGGGCCATGGCGCAGGGCGTGGCAGGTGTGGCAACTTCTCGATCTCGTAGGGGGTGCGGAGGGGGTGGTCTCCGAGTGCGGCGTCTATGCGGGCCATGGCGCAGGGCGTGGCAGGCACTGTCCTCACCCCGTAGGGGGTGCGCAGGGGGTGGTCTCCGAGCGCGGCGTCTATGCGGGCCATGGCGCAGGGCGTGGCAGGTGTGGCACTTTCTCGACCTCGTAGGGGGTGGGCAGGGGGTGGTCTCCGAGCGCGGCGTCTGTGCGGGCCATGGCGCAGGGCGTGGCAAGCACGGCATATTCTCGACACCACCGGGGGTGCGCAGGGAATGGTCCCCGAGCGGGGCGTTTATTCAATATGCGCCCATGTCGCAGGGCCTGGCAGGCGTGGCACTTTCTCGACACCAGCGGGGGTGCGCAGGGGGTGGTCTCTCTATACGCGCCAATGTCGCAGGGCCTAGCAGGCGTGGCACATTCTCGACACCAGAGGGGGTGCGCAGGGGATGGCCTCTCTATACGCGCCAATGTCGCAAAGCCTAGCAGGCGTGGCACTTTCTCGACACCAGAGGGGGTGTGCAAGGGGGTGGTCTCTCTCTATACGCGCCAATGTCGCAGGGCCTAGCAGGCGTGGCACTTTCTCGACACCAGAGGGGGTGCCCAGGGGGTGTTCTTTCTATACGCGCCCATGTCGCAGGGCCTAGCAGGAGTGGCACTTTCTCGACACCAGCGGGGGTGCGCAGGGGGTGGTCTCTCTATACGCGCCAATGTCGCAGGGCCTAGCAGGCGTGGCCTACAAGAGGGTACCTTGGGGGTGCGGTCGCTCTCTGTCTCGGGCTCGCAAAGTGTGGCTGGCGCGGCGCTTCTCCTCTTAGAACCTCTCCTCTTGAGTGGCGTCACCAGCGGTTTCGGCGGGGCAACGGCCACCAACATCATTCTCACATGCTTCACTTCAGCCATCAACACTCCAGGCATAATATAAGTATGTGGGGTTCCTCGGTACACCCTGCGAAATGCTTAAGAAATCATGGGTTAAGAAATTCATAGTCTCAGAACTTGAATAAAAACCTAAAGTTTCCATTCAAATCTTAGGATTTACATTGAAACATTAAGAATAATCGAGACTCTGGCCGAAAATTTAAGTTTTCTTAAGCATCGCCTAAGGTGTAGCGTAATATATGTTTATGCGGTTTTTCGCTCCTCCATCCGCTGGGGTCGGAAGATCGCACCGCCTCGCCGATGCATCGGCGACGTCGGCGTGGAGAAGGTCGGGCTCCACATCCAGCCTTCTCGTCGATGCGGAGCGATCCTCCGACCCCATCCATTTCGCCCACATCTGGGAGGCCTCCCCGACCTCCTCATCCCACTCGACCTCGAACCCTTTTCCTAGAAGAACAACAAGCTCCATAAACAACATTTTTGTTGGCGCTCCGCGAAGGTTTACTGGATCGGCGCTGGACCTCCCTCCCTGGCGCGCAGAGCGCGCCAAGGGCGGCGCCGGAGGCGCCGCCAGGGGGGGTTCAGCGCCGATCCAAGAAATCCGCGCGGAGCTTCAAAAGTTGATGTCAATGCAACTGCTTTTGTTCTTCAAAAACCTTTCTTCCGTCCTCGACCTCGCCACCCCCCCGTTCCTTCTTCGACCACGCCCCCTCCCCCGATCAAAGAAATCCGTGCGGAGCTTGAACAGTTTGTGTTTGAGCCATTGTTTTGTTACCCGAGAACCTTTCTGTCTTCCTCGACCTCGCCACCCCCGCTGTTCCTTCCTCGACCTCGCCCCCCCCCCCCCCCCCGTAGGTTGGGATCTGGGGGTCCGAAAACACCTACTATCAAACACCGCTGATCGGTATCGGTGTCTATTCCTCCCCCGTTGGAAAGCTCGTCTCGCTCGGCCTCGCCACGTGCGCCTCTGGGCTCAGTACACCTCCACGTGGTAGCGGTGGGCCTTCTTCATCTCCTTCGCGAAGTCCTTCCAGTCCACGCCCGCCTTCCGGGGAACAACTGCTGACATTCAGGGATGGACAGACCCCCCTTTAGTAAAACGTGGTTTAGTGAAAACGACCTGAGGCCCAAACCTGGCGGGCGCAAGCCTGGAAAATTACGGCCGCGGCGCCCTCTCGAGAACCGAAAACGGACAATTCACTAATCGACGTGTCACTGTTGGGGGTTCTGTCCACCCCCGAGGGATGAGGGGGGAAGCGGGTTCTTGTATCCGCTGGCATGTATAATACAGTGCGGGCGCGGCTGCGAGGAGCCCTCACAAGAAACCCCACCCTGAGAGCCCGCGCGCGAGGCGCACCCGGGGGAAGCCCGGAGCACCCCGAACGCAACAGCTCCTTCAACGGCCGCGAGAAGTCGCCGCGCAGCGCGCGGAGCGAAGAAACCCAGGATACCCTGACGAAAATCATCTGGTTTCTTGATGCGCGCCCCCGCTGTAGTGGAGAGAGCGAGGTACGAGTGATGACGTTCTGGTGGGGCGAACCTCTCCAGGGGGGGGTCCGGGGTAGGGGCGAGGGCCGGGCGCATGGTTGTGAATGGTCGCCCGCGTATTTTTTCGAGTGAAGCGGCTCACGGGCAGCTCCCATGGCCTGTTTCCATATTTTTTCAAATGAAACGGCCCGAGGGCCCCAAGACTGCCCCAAGAGAGCTTCAGAGGGCCTCCAGACGGTCCAAGAGAGCTCCCAAACGGCTCCAGAGGCCCTCCACAGGGCCCCCGAGAGGGCCTGAGGAGGCCAATAACATGGACCCCCTAAGGATTTTGCAAGTTTTCCGGGTTCTCCCTCATTTGGGCCAAGAATGGCCAACACGGCCCACGAGGCCCCAAAGCTTGTCTCAAGATGGCCCCAGAGGCCCCCCAAACGGCCTGAAAAAGGTCCAAGAGGGCGCCAGGACGGCCACAGAGGGGCCCAAAACGATCCAAAAAGGCCCCACAAGAGGGCACAAGACGGTCCCTAGAGAGGCCCAAGAGGGCCCAAAGAGGCTCCCAAGAGGGCCCGAAGAGGCCCCAAGACGGCCAAAGGCCTCGAAGACGCCCCAAGACGGCCCAAAAGGGCACCAAGACGGCCCACAATTGCGCCAGAAGGGCTCCCGAAGGGCTTCAAAAGGGCCCCAAGAAAATCCCGACGAGGCCCAAGAGACGCTCAAGAACACCATGGCTCCCATCAGCGAGCGGTGACGTACAAAGCTCGTCACACCAAGGCTCACAAGAGCGAGCGGCAACGTAAGGGCTCCCAACGGAGAGCGGCGACATAACAAGCTCTTGACACCAAGGCTCCCATGAGCAAAAGGTTCCATGAGCCATCTTGGGCAAATTCCTGAGGCGCTCTTTCCCTTTCCGTGCCGGCCCAGGTGGTCGTTACCCGGGCCCCTTCGGGATATAAGACGAAGCCAAGACTGGGACAACATCGGTGATGATGAATCGAAAATCTCTGAGATCCGGCGGCCCTGGAAGATGTCTCGGGAGCCGCGGTCTTCTCAAAGCGATCCGGAATTTCTGAGAGCGTTCCGGAACGCTCTGGAGTGGATTCGTCGGTTACACGCAAGAGTGACCCTGGGTAAGAGTGACCTTTAGTGCGCAGCTTCTGGGAGCCACGGGGGGACCGAACACAAGCGCGCAAGACGCCACTGCAACCTCACGTTCGGCGATCGGGGGATCCCAATGAGCCCGCACCAAAGGTCACTCCGGCGAAGGGTCACTCTTACGTGTAGTCGAACTCATCCTCGTCGTTCAATGTGCAGTGCCGGTCGTATGCAGGGAGGGGCCTCCGACAAGTGATGCCCATGCCACTGCTTATTCCCGACAGAGGCCGCCCCCGAAGCCTGGACCACTCGCCGGCCCAGCGGCCTCGCCCAGCGCGAGACCGGTCGACCGGCCGACCGACGACGACGACGAAGACGACGACGACGACGACGACGGCGACGACAACGACGACGGCGGCGTCCACGAAGACGACGACGACGGCGACGGCGACGACGACGACGACGACGACGGCGACGACGACGACGACGGCGACGATGACGACGACGACGGCGACGACGACGACGACGACGGCGACGACGACGACGACGACGACGACGACGACGACGGCGGCGGCGGCGGCTGCGGCGGCGGCGGCCTGCTGAGGGCCCCCCGAAGCCTATCGGGGCGTTGACCGAAGGAACCCTGAATAAGGAACGAGGCCCCTTTGTCCCATAAGTTGATCTTCGATTTCCCATTGAAAACCTAAGAAAAGCCCAAGGCAAACTGTGAAGCAATCAAGGAACACGGAGTCCCTCCCCAACGAAAAGGGTTCCTTCTTCAGGGCCCCGACTGTAGGGCGCAAACAAGCCTACCTCGCTTTTGACCACCCTCGCTTCCAGCAGCGGGCGAAGAACGGTGTAAGATAAACTTTTTCGCTGTCGGGGGCGCCTGTCCCAGGGCGGCTGGAAAATTTATACCCCTACGGTGGCACTGTAGGGGTACAAACTTTCCAGCCGCCCAGGGACAGGCGCCCCCGACAGCGAAAAAGTTTATGTTATACCGTTCTTCGCCCGTTAATTCCAAGAGACATCAAGCGACGCCAAACTACGGCCTGCGCTGGTCAGGCCGCTTGACGAGGAGGCGCGTGGTATGACACGGTTTTGCCTGGAAGCGAAAGCGGGGTAGGCAATTCACGCTCTGATTGAACAAAAATCCAGACCCGCCTTCTCCGCCAGAGGCGAGAAACACTCCTCCATGCCGGACTCCATGCCCTTCAGGCCGCACATGTAGATGTGCGTCTTCGGCGACTGCATCAGCTCCCAGAGCTCCTGTCGGGTCGGGGGCGAGAAGGAGGGCCTCCCTCCTCCTCCTCCTCCTGTCTTCTCCTTCCTCCTCCTCCTCCTCCTCCCTTTCCTCCTCCTCCTTTCCTCCTCCTCCTCCTCCTCCTCTCCTCCTCCTCTCCTCCTCCTCCTCCTCCCCTCCTCCTCCCTCTCCTCCTCCTCCTCCTCCTCCTCCTTCCTCCTCCTCCTCCTCCTCCGCGTCGTCCTCCTCCTCCTCCTCCTCTCCTCCTCCTCCTCCTCCTCCTCCTCCCCCTTTCCTCCTCCTTTCCTCCTCCTCCTCCTCCTCCTCTCTCCTCTCTCCTCCTCCTCCTCCTCCTCCTCCCCATTCCCGATCCCAATCAGGGAAGCAAGCCATGACTAGACAAGCGCGTTCCACTGCTCGCAAAGTAACCACTCGCAAATGGCCCAGATCCACCAGGAAGGGTCTACGGTCAACTGCACCGATGTAGGTACATGTGCTTTTCTCTCGGAAGTCTGCGAGCAGGCACTCTGCGAGTAAAGTGGAACGCGCTCGGTGAATTGCATGAGCATGAAACGCGCTCTCCTCCTCCTCCTCCTCCTCTTCCTCCTCCTCCTCCTCCTCCTCTTCCTCCTCCTCCTCCTCCTCCTTTCCTCCTCCTCCCCCTTTCCTCCTCCTCCTCCTCCTCCTCCCTCCTCCTCCGCCTCCTCCTCCTCCTCCTCCTCCTCCTCCTCCTCCTCCTCCTCCCCATTCCCAATCCCACATAGGGGGAGCAGGCAGCGACGTAAAATCACGTCAGACTCGGAGGTCCGCGCGGACCCCTCTCGGCTCGGCCTTGGGAGCCCGCCTCCCCGGCGCTTGCGGACCGCGCCAGGGAGGCGGCGCCTTGAGTGCCGGAGGCGAGGCGCCGCCGGGGGGCCCCGGCGCCGCTCCGAGAGATCGGCGCGGCCCTGAGAGTTTTTGTGTTTGTGCCCGAAGTCTGCAGAAATCTTTGACGCCCGAACTTTTTTTTTTTTTTTTTTTTTTTGTTTGTTTTCCTCCCCCCAGGGGGGCAGGACCAAGGTTACCTGTTTATCTGGATGAGGCCGCTCCAGAGGCCGCCTCTTCCCTCTCCCGAACTCGTTCCAGGAGGGCCAACATGCGAGGGGTCTGTGGGAGGCTGTCTAGCCTCGCACTCAAAAGACCTACCTCCTGAGGAGGGGGTAGATTAACTGCATGCTGCATATACCCCACTCCTCGCCTCGACGACTGAGTCACTCGCGCGGAGGTTTCGCGCGAGTTCGTTCGTGCAGAGAGTTGTTGTGCTTATGCCATTTGTTCTTTCCCTGGCCAATCTCTCCCTCTCTCTCGTCCGAGTCGAATGATGCTCGTCTGGCTTGCGAATCACAACTCGGGCCTCCTCCACAACCGCCGTTCGAGACAATGTCTGCCTCCCACCGTCCGGAACGCGCGCTCGGCGACGCACAGCTGCCAGAAAAACCGTCCGTAGGGCGAGAAGTCCCCGAGAATCGACCAAAACGCCTAGTAGCCTCGAACCCCGAGCCCAATCCGTCCCAGCCCCCCCCCCCCCCCTCCCAGACATCCTCCGACATGATTGGTTCCGTCCGCGGTCTCGCAGCGCCCGACCCCTTCTCCCAGGGGTAGATAGCCAGCCCCAGGGGCCGCAATCGAGGAAAAACTGCTGGACTGAAAATTCGGATCGTCGCAGATCTGGACGTCGTCGTCGTCGTCGTCCTCCTCCTCCTCCTCCTCCTACTCCCTCCTGCTGCTCCTCCTCCTCCTCCTCTTCCCCTGGGCCCGTCGCCGCTCCACCCACCCTTCCCCACTGGAGCCTCCTCCTCAAGCGCGGCAGCCGAAGCGACATGTTTAGCAACGTCGTAGTTGAGTCGAAGGGAAGCCCCTTCCCTTCGATCCCTTTCTCCCGACGGGGGGGTGTTCCTGGGGAGGTAGCGAGGAGAGGTGCAGTAGGAGCTCGACCACAAAAACCCTTCCACAAGAAACCCAATCCTGAGACCCAAGACGTCAGCTGATTTTTGGTGTGGGAACGTCACGCTTTCCACCGCAAAACCATCGAAACCCAGGGCACCCTGGAGGCAAGCAGGGTGCTTCTTGGCATGGGTTTCTACTGTAGCGGGGGGTCCCCTGTCAAAATGGAATTCCCCCAAGGGGTCCTGGGGCCCACAAGAGCTCCACGACGGCCCAAGCGTGCCCCGAGATGCCCCCAAGACAAGACGGTCCGAGAGAGACCCAAATCTTTGAAATCTCGACCAAAGCCGCCAAACATGGCCTCCTGACGGCCAAAGAAATTTCCAAAGGCCTACAAGAGAGCACGAGGAGGATCCCAGCAGACAAAATTCAAGATTTGTTCCTCGGCTTGTGAGCATGTTTCGCGTTCTCCTCGTTTCGGCTCCCCGACGGCCCCAGATGCCCCCAGCTATCGCCCCAAGAGGCCCCCAAGAGGTCTCCAAGACAACCCCGAAACGACCCAAAAGGGCCCCAAAGACGGCCCGAGAGGCCTCCAAGACGGCCCACGAGGCCCCCGAAGATGGCTCCGAGGGGGGGCCCAGGCGGGGGACCCGAACAGACACCTCGAGCCCTCGGCCCCGAGAAGCTCCTGGGAGGTCGGAGCCCACAAGAGGCCCCCGAGAGGCCCCCACGAGGCCCCCACGAGGCCCCCAAGAGGCCCCCACGATGCCCCCACGAGGCCCCCACGAGGCCCCCATGAGGCCCCAGGGAGGCCCCGGGGAGGCCCCCACGAGGCCCCCAAGAGGCCCCCACGAGGCCCCCACGAGGCCCCCACGAGGCCCCCACGAGGCCCCCACGAGGCCCCAGGGAGGCCCCGGGGAAGCCCCCACGAGGCCCCCAAGAGGCCCTCGAGAGGCCCCCGGGCCCCCAAAAGGGCCCAAGAGCCCGCCCCGGAAGCGCTCCCCACGAGGCTCTCCAGACGCCGCGACGACGAACCCCTCCAGACCCTCACCCGCGTCTCCATCGTCGTCGTCGCCGCCGTCACCGCCGTCCTCGCCCTCGCCCCCCCCCTCCCCTCGGGCGGTGGCGGGCGTCTGGACGACGCCGGTCGGAGGGAGGCTCCGCTCACGACGCCCAGGCTGGCGCGGCAGCGACTCGGGTGGGCGTGGTGTGCCGTCGGCGAGGCGCCAAGCCTGCGAGGCGCGATGCGCGACGGCCGGCGTCGGCCCTCGGGGTCGGCGGCGCCTGCCGTGAGGCCTCCTCGGTCTACCAGACTGAGGGTTCGCATGGTCGGAGGCCTGGGCTTTCAGGCCATACCGTCGGGCCGCTGAACATCGGGGGCGTGCTGAATCAGGAACGAGGCACCCGTTTGGCACCAGAAGCGCCTGCGCGCACGAGGAGGGCCAGAGAAGCAGCCACGGAAGGACCCTCAGGAGCCTCGAGCCGCATTCCGAGGCCAAGCTGCTCCTTCTGTCAGCGACTTGTCGGTAGCCCCGGCCTCCCGCCAGGGATCACTCTGGCGCGCCCCGGAAGCCCTCGGCGATGCGCAGCTGCTGGGAAAGGCGTCCACAGGCGAGGAGGCCTGTGGGAACTGACGAGGAGCTCCGAGAACCTGTGACGAAGACCATCGCTCTCGTCGCCGCCGTCGCCGTCGCAGCCCGGTCCTCTGCGTACTCGGCCATCTTCGTCTGGATGTACATCTTCTGGCCTGGGACGCAGAAGGGCATACTGACTAGTATCAGGTCGGTCCCCCTACAGGCGGACTCTGGACGAAAAATCATGCATGGTCAAACAAATACCCCACAAATGATCAAAAGTTGTTAATCAAAATCGTCCCCAGACTATTTTTGAAGATTCCCCCTGTAGAGGGAGAGGCCGACTGACCCTCCCTCCCTCCTCCCTCCTCCTCCTCCTCCTTCCTCCTCCCTCCCTCCTCCTGCTCCTCCCCTCCTCCTCCTCCTCCTCCTCCTCCTCCTCCTCCTCCTCCTCCCCCTCCTCCTCCTCCTCCTCCCCCTCCTCCTCCTCCTCCTCCTCCTCCTCCTCCTCCTCCTCCCCCTGTAGAGGGACAGGCCCGACGGAAGACTGGCACACTGCGCCCTCCTCGGAGGCGCGCGCCCGAACCGAGCGGGCAGTGCTCAGCACAATAGCACCCCAGGACACGTCGCCACCCGAGCAGGCTGGCCAGAAAGCGCCCGCCTCCCACTCCTCCGCCTCCTCCGCCTCCTCCTCCTCCACCTCCGCCTCCTCCTCCTCCTCTCCTCCTCCTCCTCCTCCTCCTCCCCCTCCTCCTCCTGTTCGTCCTGCTCATCCTCCTGCTCTTCCTGCTCCTCCTCCTCCTCCTGCTCCCGCCTCCGAGCGTGCACTGCAATACTTACACCAGAGAAAAGCCCCAATCAGTGGATGGCTTGACGTGGGATCGATACAGGTCAAGGTCAGGGTCAAGCCTGCATGCCCCCGAAGGGGCGGCCGCTTGGGGCACAGGCGGGCGAAAACCAGCAGACGCTCACGCGGTGAAGAAAATCTCATGTCATACAATTCCAGGAATGTGGGTCTTCTGCTGCTACTCTCCGATCGCCGCTCACGTACTTGTCGCAGGAGCACTGGAGATCGACCGGGAACCGGGGAACCCGGAACACACCGAAATCGGCCCAAAACCGATAACCAGGAACCCAAGAAACGGGAACCCAGGAACCCAGCCGGCTACCAACATGGGCGGGAAACTTTCGCGAAATCTGTCAATTTCCGCTACTTGAGGACCTCTTCAGTGCAAGCACTGATTGGGGAATCTCTGAGCGCGCGTCGCTTCTGGGTCGCGACGCGCACATAGTACAAGGGGGCGGGTTCCGAAGACGCTGAACCAAAAAACCTTACCATCTCTTGGGAAGCCGATCGATGTTCACTTCCGCGGGCTTCCGCCGGCGGAGGCGCCGCCGCCTTCCGCCGGGGAAGAAACGGCAACTTCGTCGACTCTCGAAAACGAGACCCCTTCTGGAACGGGTCAAGCATGTTCGGGGAGGAGGGCCCAAAATCGGATCGATACGTCGGACCGGCGATCGACATGAATCGGATCGGCGGAAATCGGCAGCCGAGTCGGGAGAATCCGAATCGCCGCCAATCGGCAGGCCAGCAGGCCTCCATTGAGAAATCGAAATCCAAATCAGAATCAGAAATCGAATCGAATCAGAAACGGAAGCCATCGAATTCGAACCGAATCGGAATCCCCAAACATCAGGCGTCTCATTTTTCCGAGACATGAGCCCCCGACCTCTGGACCACTTCCCCAGGACCGGTGGTCCATCCCGAGTCGTTCCTTGACGGCCCCGAGGCCCAGCCAGGGCCCCGAGAGGCCGACAGCGATGCAAAGCCTCCGCACCGATTTCTTCGGGACGCCAGATGTCTGGGTCGTCGGAGCGAGCCCTGTTGTCGGGAGCGGCCAAGAGGGGGGCGTCCAAGAGGGGGGGGTGCAAATCATGACCGGCGGCATGCGCGCGGCCCAGCGGGGGGGCCAGGGACGCAATGAAATAAGAGGAGGCGCCATGAAATCTGGGGAGATATCATGGCCCCCGCCATGATATCCACCCCCCTCCTGGTCATCACCCCCCTCTTTTCCGCCCCCGATGTTGGGTGATGCAGCATGGCCGGCGGCGTTCTTCTGCTCGCGCGACACCGCGTAGTCTGCGCGGAACTGGTCGGGGAACTCCGCCGGCCGCGCCCGCGGCGCGCCCCAAGCCGTGACGTCGTCGTCGTCGTCGTCGTCGTCGTCGTCCTCCTCCTCCTCCTCCTCCTCCTCCTCCTCCCTCCTCCCTCCTCCCTCCTCCCTCCTCCCCCTCCCTCCTCCCTCCTCCCTCCTCCTCCCCCTCCTCCCTCCTCCCTCCTCCCCTCCCTCCTCCCTCCTCCTCCTCCTCCTCCTCCTCCTCCTCCTCCTCCTCCTCCTCCTCCTCCGCCTGCCCAACCCCAAACAGCGAGGCGGCAGAAGCTTCTGGAAGGTCCCTAGGAGCTTTTGTAGGCTTTCGCAAGGAGCTTCTGTAGAGCCGAACGGCACACGTACTGGGAAACAATCAGGCCTTCCGGGACACGCTGCAACCTCGAGCGGGGCGCTGCGGGGATTGTGGCGCGAAGCCGGAACGAGCTGCGGGGCTACCCTTGCCTGCCTGCTTCTAGTCTGAAGCCATCTCCTAGCTTCTACGAGCTACCCAGGAGAGGCATGGTTGGCCATGTTGGCTTGAAGTTGACAGCTCTCTGTCGCTACGTTGGTAACTGCGAACCACAGACCAAGGGGGAGGCTGGGACGGGGCATGTCACTCATTGACAAAACGCTTGCCCACAATTGCGGCCGCCGCGATCGCCGCGGCAGCCTCCAAAACCAACGCGGAGACGTTGTTCGGGGCCGGATAGCACGCGCAGATGTCGGCGAGGCGTAAGACTCGGGTTTTCGGGACTCGAGCTGGCCTGCTAGGGCTTCGGGCTGCGTGCAGGCAGCCCCGCCAGGCAGCCCTCGCAGGCCTCAGTGAGCCCCCACAGGCAGTCCTGGCCTGCTGGTCGAAGAAACAAGCTGCGTAAAGGCAAACTCTCGAAGCTCCGCGCGGACTTGGATCGACACTGGAACCCCCCACCCTGGCGCGCGGAGTGCGCCGAGGGCGGCGCAGGAGGCGCCGCCAGGGGTGGACCAGTGCCGATCCAAGAAATCCGCGCGGAATGCCGACAACCTATGTGAGCGTTTTCTTATTCGGCGTTTCAACATTGGGCGGAAGGGGGAGGGGGAGCGGGGGGGGATCTGGCTCTGGACCTCTGCTTGATGCGACCGTTTGCAACAGTGCGTCCCATGGGGGAGACTTCACCTGCTCGAAACAGGCGCCGAAAACAGCCAAGATCTACTCCATAGGGGGGGAGGGGGTGCGAGGGCCCGTGCCGATCGGCAAAACAATGAATAAGAAAACAATCACTACTGAAGGGGCCCTGGGACACACAAATAAATAGACACAAATAACAGGATTCCCAATCGTTTCCCATATTTCTGGGTTTTCGTCTTCCCCCCCTCTCTCCATATTTTCCTATATTTTCTGGGAATGGACGATTCATTGTGTCCGTGTGTTTTTCCCTCTTGAGAGTCGGGCTTGGTGGGCTGAGCACAGGCCGCTCCCCCAGGCAGTCCTGGCTCTCCTCCACAGGCCCCCACAGGCAGCCCTGGCCTTTGAAATCGAGGAAACAAGCTGCAGAAAAATAAACTTCCGGAGATCCGTATGGGGCATCGCATCGCCGCATCGCATCGCCAGAGGCATGGAAGCAATCCGAACTATCACGGGGCGCCTTCACACTTCGTGGCAAGCATCTGGACGTCGGTCGGAAGAAGTGGGTAGAACCATAAAGTAAGAAAGCGTTCGAAACAAATTGGGTTTCCGCCCGCCCCCTGAAGAGGATGGAGAAGGGAAAACCGCTCGACTCTTGAAGTAGGGATGCGGCTCAAATAAGTTGGGATCGGGGAGTCCAAAAATACGCACTTTCAACGACCGGCGTGCATTGACACGGTGACCCCCAGAAGGGCCACAGGAAACCCCACCCGGTCACGCAGAGTGCCGGTCGCCCTCCCCCCACGGCCCCGGGAATCGCCACGGCACCCAGATCCCGCGAGAAACGCCAAGAGAAAAAGACAAACAAGCTGCATATATTGTAGATATCTATATATATACATATATATATATATATATATAGATAGATAGATAGATAGAGAGATAGTTATATAGATAGATATATAGATATATAGATACATATATATATATATATAGATAGATAGATACACATATATATATATATATATATATATAAATGTATACATTTAGATAGATAGATAGATAGATAGATAGATAGATAGATAGGCGCGCCCGGGAGGGAGTGAAACGGGGCGGGCCTTCTCAGACGGCCCAGAAGTTGTGCAGCCTTCTGAACAGTGTTCAAACTGTCTTCTGAAGGCACCGAAAACTTCTCAAATGGCCAGAGCGTTTCTGAGAAGTCCCGCCGCCTTCTGAGAGGGCCTCCTCCGTCTCCCTTCCCCCCCTCGCTCGCCGTCGAATGGACATAAATTTTCGGCGCTTTGGATCTGTGGATTTCTTGGATCGGCGCTGGACAAGTTGGATCTCTTGGATCGGCGCTCGCGTGGAAACGTCGGCATCGCATCGTCGATGCATCATCGGCGACGTCGGCGTGGAAAGGTCGGGCTCCAGCCGCATCGTCGATGCATAGGCGATGCGGAGCGTCCCTCCGACCCCATCTACTTCGACTCCATCTGGGAGGCCTCCTGTGACCTCCGCGACTTCCCCACCCTCCTCGACCTCGAGCCTGTTTTTCCCAAGGGGAACAAGAGACGGCACAACCATTCATGTTCGGCGCTCCGCGCGGGTTTCCCGGATCGGCGCTGGACCCCTTCTTGGCGCGCGGAGCGCGCCAGGGGCGGCGGGTGGCGCCGCCTGGGGAGCCCGGTGCAGTTGCAAGAAACCCTCGCGGTGCTCCGAAAGCCTCTGCTTCATTATGTCGCTGCTTAATCTCCGACGGTCGGGCACGACGACGACGAACGCTACGATAACGACCGCGAGGGGGAGCAGGAGGAGGACGAGGAGGAGGAGGAGGAGGAGGAGGAGGAGGAGGAGGAGGAGGAGGAGGAGGAGGAGGAGGAGGGTGGAGAAGGGGAATGGTAATGGAGCGTGGGGCGCAGTCCGAGCACTGCGCTCTGCCGCCGAAGCGGCGGTGCAACAGTTCCCAAAACAAGCGGGGGCGGCGACGGGGGGCCCGAAGGCCCCACCAGACAAGTGCACTCCAGCAGGGACCTTCCCAGGAAGGGAAGGCCGTAGCCAAGGCCCCGCCACCCCCGCGGGGACGGAGACCAACGGGCAACCGAATGCAGCTACCAGAGCCGCTCCCAGGAACCTCCTCCTCCTCCTCCTCCTCCTCCTCCTCCTCCGCACCGGAGGCTGAAGTCAGCCTGGAACGAGGCCTTTTCCGTGAGACTGAGGTCAGGTTCAGCTCTCGGGAGGAGACGAGCCTCCCCGGGGCTGGCGCGCCGGAGCGCCGTCGGCAGCTTTTGTGCCGCCCCCCGACGAGCTTGACCCCAACACTCGTCTGGACTTTGGGTGTTACAAATGTCGAATGTAATGGTACCTTCATGGGCGTTGCCGAGTTCCTCCTCCGTATGCCTGGCGAGGGCGGAGCGGAAGTCCCCCACAGAGAGCCCGAACCTCCCGAGCACCTCGCGAACGCGGCTTCGCGCTCCTTGGAGCCAGGCGCGAGGGGGTCGCAGGCCCGCGGGGCCTGCTCGAGGAGGCCGCCTGCAATGTCAGCGAAGATCACCTTCTGCTCCTCGCCGGCGCCGTCGTCGAAGCCCTCCAGCCGCTGGGGCGCGTCGCCGCCCGTGGCCGCCAACAGCGGCCTCCCCGCGCGCGGCACCTCGACGCAACCCGACGTGAGCTGCGCTGCCGGCGCCCCCGCGATCTTCTCGATCTCCGTGGTCCCATCGGCCGGCCCTGCCGCAGCGGCGGTGCGGCCGCCGCCGTGTCTTCCCAGCCCCGCGCCTGCGCGCTCGGCACCTCGCTCTGGTTCTCCTGCCCCGTGGAGCTGTCCGCGCCCGACGGGCACCCGTCGATGACGTCGTTTTCGAAGGTCTCCCACTTTCTTGGTCTCGTCGCCGCTCTCGCCCGCCTTCGCGGCCACATCCCCACGGGGTTCGTGCGCGGCCATCTCCTGCTCGGCCGTCTGGACCGCGATCTCGCCCGCGATCCCCTGCTGCGCCGCCAGTTTGGGGAAGGGGACGCGTGCGCGTGCGCGACCAGGCCTGCCTGCTCGCACGAGTTGCATTCGCCACCGCGACCCACGTCCTCGGCCACGCCGGCACCTGCAGCGACTTGACGAGCTGCTGCGACTCCGGAGCCGCCGTTGTCCCCCGCCGACTCCAGCGCCACGACGCCCCTCGCGACGTGCTGCGACCCCTCGTCGACCTGCTCGCCCACGCTCACCTCCAGGGCGGGCTGGCTCCCGACGAAGAGCGAGCCCGGCGGGCTGCCCTCCGGCTCCCGCTCGGCCAGCGGTGCGCTGCCGCGCCTGCTCGGTGGTCCGCTGAGCCTCGCAGCTGCCCCCGCCCTCCGCCTCCCCAGCGAAGACGCGGGCCACCAGCGCCTCTCGGGTCGGGCGAGAGGGGGGGGAAGGCAAAGGGGGGGGGGGTCAGAATCAGCTCGCGTAGCGATTTTCCTGGCGCCTCCCGGCGCCGGAGGCGTCTGTGTATCTAGGAATGGGCCCCTCGGTGGGGCCGAAACCAGCTGCATGCAGCAAATTTCGTACCCCCCCCTTTCCCAATCCCCCCCTTTCGTCCGGCCCGAGCCTCGGCGATGAGATGGTGGTTGCGCCTCGAGCCGCCGCGGCGGGCGGCGAGGAGCGGCGGCGCGCTCGCCACGCCCACCATCGCCCGACCATGGCTCGCCGCCGCGGGCCGCTCTGAAGAAGGGCCGTGCGGGGGCGCGGCCTGGGCCCAGAACGGCCGAGAGGGGGGAGGAGGAGGAGGAGGAGGAGGAGGAGGCGAGGAGGAGGAGGAGGAGGGGAGGAGGAGGAGGAGGAGGAGGGAGGAGGCGGAGGAGGAGGAGGAGGAGGGGAGGAGGAGGAGGAAGGAGGAGGAGGAGGAGGAGGAGGCGGAGGAGGAGTAAGAGTAAGAGTAAGAGCAAGAGTAAGAGTCCCAGGACGATGTCCTAATGGAGGAGGAGGAGGAGGAGGAGGAGGAGGAGGAGGAGGAGGAGGAGGAGGAGGAGGAGGAGGAGGAGCCAAATCAGGAGCGGGAACAGGAGCAAGAGTAGGAACAGGAGGAGGAGCCGGAGCAGGAGCAGGCGCAGGAGGAGGGGCGAGCTTGATGCCCGCCGAGAGAAACGGAGGGGGGCTCCTCAAAACTACAGACCTCCTGCGGGTAATGGGGGGGACCTACATTGGGGGTGAAGAAAGACCATACATGGGGCACTCTAGAGCCCCTTTTTGGCCCCTGCTGGCTCCAAAAGGGGCTCTCGAGGGCCCCTTTAGAGGTCCGTTCTGCACGCGCTATGTAGGTCACCCCCTGATACGTAATTACCACCTGCCCGAGAACAATGAGGTACCCTATAAAGAGACCGACCGCTTCCCCGGGGGTAGTTTCTCGCCCCGGTCCCCCAAGAGAGGGGTTCGCGAATCATGGGCCGAGGCGGGTGCGCGGACGAGGGGGGGACCAGGGGACGTATTGAAGGAAGAAGAAGGGACCATGAGATCCGAGGCGATACCATGACCCCCGCCATGATACCCACCACTAGAGGAAGGAAACAACTGCGCAAACATAAACTTTTGACGGTCCGCACGGATTTCTTGGATCCGCGCTGGACCCTCCCTCCCTGGCGCTCGGGGCGCGCCACGGAATAATGAAACGCAGCAAAAGCAAATCGACTCTTGAAGTAGGAATGGAAGGTTTCTCCGAAGGGCTTAGGCGACCCGTCCTCCTCCTCCTCCTCCTCCTCCTCCTCCACCTCTTCCTCCTCCTCCTCCTCCTCCTCCCTCCCTCCTCCTCCTCCTCCCTTCCCTCCCTCCTCTCCTCCTCCCGCCTCCTACCTCCCCCTCCTCCTCTTCCTCCTCCTCCTCCCCCTCCTCCTCCTCCTCCTCCTCCTCCTCTTCCTCCTTCTCCTCCTCCTCCTCCTCCTCCTCCTCCTCGGGTCGCCTACGGCCCGAAGGGAAACCGTGCAGGTAGGAAGTCGTTTGCAAGAGATTGGGGCCTGGGAATCCAAAAATACCTACCTTCAACGACCGGCCTGTATCTGTGTCCGCGCCTTCGCAGCCTGGATTCCCAAGCGCGATCCCGCGGCTGCGTTAGGAGACAACGACTGGGAGGCCTTCGTCGGAAGGACAAGGGGATTAAAAGCCCCCCTTTGGGGGGCTGCTACGCCGGATTTCGCCGCGGATTATGTGGGACGAAACCGCACTGCGCGGGATTCAGCAGGATTAAGCCGGATGTTGCACCTGGGCAGAGTCAGAATCTAACCTCCCAGGAGTTGCATCCGAAGATGCGCGGTCGCACGGATACGTCCCTCGGGTCGGGCGAAAGGGGGGGATAGCAAAGGGGGGGGGGGGGTTTGAGAATCAGCTCGCCTAGCTGATCTCCCCGGCGCCTCCCGGCGCCAGAGGCGGCTATGCATCGAGGAATGGGCCCCTCGGTGGGGCCGAAACCAGCTGCATGCAGCAAATTTCGTAACCCCCCTGTCCCAATCCCCCCCTTTCGCCCGGCCCGAGTCCCGAGCTGGGCGTCCGCGAAGCAACGCCCCGCAGCCGCGGCGTCGCGGCCCGGGGGCCCCGCCCGCAAAGCAGCGGCTGCATATGGAAGACCGGCGCGCGCCGGGCCTCGGCCCCGCAGGGCCCCTCCCTCTCTGAGGGGGCCCGGAGACACACAGTGGAATACTTTTTTGGTCGGCGGCTCCCAGGCGAAGGTCAAGGAGCGGGTCAACAACGAACACGCAAAGAAAAACACGCAACCCCCAGCATTCCCCATGTTTTCCCCACACGTTCTGGGTTTTCGTCTTCCCCCACAGCTCCCATAGTTTCCTGTATTTTCCTGGGCCTCGACGATGAATTGTGTCTGTGGGTTTTTTCCTCTCATGGCTCTCTCACGGACCCTGAGAGCCCCCAGCCCTGCAATTTTTGCGCATCGGACGTGCCCGCCCAGCTTCGGGCACCGGGAACATCACAGATCGATCCGGGACCATCACAGGTCGATCCGGCTCGACAGACATGCTGCAGAAAGGTGGGGTCTGGGACTTTGGTCGTGATTTTACGCGACGCCGCCTTTTTCTGCAACGTCGGATCCTGGCCCACCTTTGTCAAAATTTCAGCGCTCGCGGGCCTTCGCCAAGGAGGAGGAGGAGGAGGACGACGACGACGAGGAGGACGACGAGGAGGAGGAGGATGACGAGGAGGAGGAAGGAGGAGCAGGAGCCGGAGCCGGAGCAGGAGGAGGAGGAGGAGGAGGAGGAGGAGGAGGAGGAGGAAGGAGAGGAGGAGGAGGAGGAGGAGAGGGGGGGGAAGAGGAGGGGCAGCACGGTGGCGGATATACGCAACGGCGCAAATGGATGCTTCGTGTACTCGTCGTGCTCGTCGACGTAGAGCAGCGAGTTCGAGTACGGGACGCCAAGGAAGAGCCACGCCAGGCCCTGGAACTTCCGGGACCCGTCGGGGTTGGCTCCGACCTTGATGGGCCGATTTCCCACCACCGCTGCCACAGGTAGTAGGAGTAATGAGGAGGAGGAGGAGGAGGAGGAGGAGGAGGAGGAGGAGGAGGAGGAGGAGGAGGAGGAGGAGGAGGAGGAGGAGGAGGAGGAGAAGGACGAGGAGGACCTCCCCATTCCCTCCTCTCCCGTCCCACCTATGGTAGTGGTGGTGGAACATGCGCCCATCTGACCTTGTCGTGGAAGAGCAGGCGCATGTAGGAGCGCATCGGTGCGATGCCGGTGCCCGTCGCGAGCATGATGATATTGCTAGGGGAACAGACTTTGACACAAACGTAACAACTCGGAGGTCCGTGCGGATTCCTCGGATCGGCGCTGGGGCCCCCCGGCAGCGCCTCTGGCACCGCCCCTGGCGCGCTGCGCGCGAGGGAGGGGGCCCCAGCGCCGATGCGAGGAATCCGTGCGAGCCCCCGAGTTTTTATGTTCATGTGAGTGTTTGTTCCCCGACTTGCAGTCCTGCTCGTTCGGCAGGAGCATCTCGGCGCCGGTCGGGCCAGTGATGAGCACCTCGTCGCCCTCGCTCATGTCGCAGATGTGGTTCGAGCACACGCCGCGGTAGACCTTGGCGTCGGGGAAGCAAGTGCCGGCCTTGTCGGGTTTGTCTTCGCCGACCTCGCGGTTGGAGTGCTTGAGGGGCCACTTCTCCTCCTCCACCTCGACCACGCGCTTGACGCACAGGGAGACCGTCTTGGAGTCCTGGCAGTCGCCGACCGCCGACGAGCCGATCGAGTAGAGGCGGATCTTGGCCGGGGTCTCGCCCTTCTTGTCGGGGCCTGGGGCGATGACGCCAATGGACTGCCCCTCGACGTACGGCACCTTGCCGCCGTGGTCGAAGGTCACGTGCGTCGTTTCCCAGTTGGCATCGCCCGGGGCGCTGCTGTTGGGCTTGGTGATAGTGTGCGCCTGCTGGCAGTTGTTCACAACCGTGTTATCTGTAACTGCTTGCTTGCTTGCTTGCTTGCTGGCTATTTACTTGTTTGTTTGTTTGCTTGCTTGCTTGCTTACTTGTCTGGTTGCTTTTCATAACCTTGTTATGTGTAACTGTTTGTTTGTTTGTTTGCTTGCTTGCTTGCTCACTTGCTGGCTTGCTCCCAAGGCAATGCCTGCACTTGGAGCTTCTTACCGCACTTCTAGAAGGAGCCGGGCCCGTGCGCGGCCCCGGCCGCCCCGTTCCCGTCCGCTGCCGCCGCCGCGCCACGACCCCCCCGTTGCACTGCAGTCGCATTCCGCTGCAATCGCACTGCACTGCGTTGCGTTGCAATCGCATTGCCTTGCCTTGCTTTGCAACGCTTTGCATTACTTTGCAATGGCGCTGCGCCGCAACCGCGTTGCATCGCGTTGCGTTGCATTGCAACCGCGCTGCGTTGCAACCGCGCTGCATTGCATCGCATTGCATTGCTTTGCAATCGCATTGCATTGCAATCGCAATGCAGTGCATTGCAATCGCATTGTGTCGCATTCCTTTGCATTGCGTTGCATTGGCTTGCGTTGCTTTTCATCGCATTGCTTTGCATTGCTTGGCACTGCTTTGCATTGCTTTGCACCAAATGGGTTGCACCGCATGGATAGCACCACTTAGTTTGCACCACCTAGAACGTGCCGCATATATCGCACGACATCGCTGTTTGGGGTCTATACTGGCTAGCATTTGCTTGTTTGCTGATTATATGCATATGGTTTACCCCGCTGAGAGCCCACAACGAACTTTGTTTGGAACTAGATCAAGCTATTTCGCAGCTCCGCGCCTGCACGTCGTTCTTGATCACGGTGCCCTGGTAGGGCGCCTTCGGCATGAACAGGTTCCACGGGATCTCCCTGCCGTCCAGCTGCTGCACGACCTTCACACCCTTCTTCTTCACCGCGGCTGCCCGGCGCGTGACCACCGACGACCCCACGGCGATCGCCGCCGCGCCCAACCCCACCTCGTGTCGAATCTATGGGGGGGTCTTCTCTGCCCCGCCATCCTGGAAAACTCCGAGGCCGCCCGAAGCTGTTTCGGTGCCATCTGGAGTCATCTGGGCGCCGAGTGCCGCAGCAAACTGGGTGTCTCAGGACGGCGAGGTGACGAACTGCGTGGTGACAGCATGATCCTCAGAGGCCTTACCGCACGGTGTGGGGACTCTGGAGGCCCCGAGACTTCCTCGGATAGCCGCCCGCGTCTGAAAACTGGCCGCTGGCCTCGGACCACCTGTCGCTCACCAAACGGGGTGGTCACCGCACCGTTCCCAGACATCCGAAGATGCGTTTTTTGTCCAATGCGCGGCCCCAAAAGCTCCGACCGAGGACAACTTTTGGACGCCAGAAACGGTTACGGGAAATATGTGCGCGATGTCCAACGACAAATTTTGTCCCAAACCGACAGCGGCGGCTGTTGGCCAGACGGCTTTCTGCCTCACATAGACGACGTCCGCAGCGACACCGGAAGCGGGTCCTGCTCAAAACGAGCAAGGGCTGCTGTCGTTCGTTGTGCCCGCATTCTCCGTACCGAAACATGTCGCCCAATACCCATTTCTAGAGGAACAATGAACGGCATAAACATCAACTTTCGGAGATCCGCGCGGATTTCTTGGTTCTGCGCTGGGGCCCCGGGGCGGCGCTTCCCGCGCCGCCCCTGGCGCGCGGAACGCGCCAGGGAGGGGGGACCCAGCGCAGGTCCAAAAAATCCGCGAGGAACGCCGAGAATCGCTGGAGACCTCTGACGGCACCGACCTGGCAGACGTGTTGCAGCGGCCTGTTGCGTGGATTTCCGCCACTGCAAAACTTCAAAACGACGAGTGAAACACGAGGCGAATTTCGCGCGGATTTCTGATTCGGTCTGCATTCCTGGCCAAAACAAGCGCACACGAAATTCACCTCGAAATTCTCCAGGACACTCCGGGCCCATCCAATCGTTTTCCGAACGAAATCCGCTCTGCGATGTTGGCGCGATGAAACCTCTGGCGGGCGAACTGGCCGCAGCCGCTGTCGTGTCGCAGCGGTCGGGTCGCAGTCGGCGTGACGATCAGCAACGGGCCATACGGCGAGATGACACGGCGACCTTGCGCGGCGGCTTGCGCGGGCCGCCAGCGCGGCACGGCGCTTTGGAGAAGAGTGCGCTCATGAGCGCGAGCCTACGCTTATGTTGCTCCCATCGTACTTAAAGACCACATCCCACAAATAATTTCGAGCACCCGGAAAAGTGTCGAAAGAGTGTCGAAAGAGTGTCGGACGAGTGTCTCCCAGGGCCCGGCACGTGAAAACCCTCGAGTTTCGGTATCTTTTTTTGGTGCTCGAAAGTCTTTCTGGTGATCAAGACTAGAACATAGGCTGGAACATCGCAAGCCTACGCGGGCAGCTCACGTGCGACCGCCTGCGCAGACCACCCCGTTTCTAACCAGCCTCGCCAGTCGAACTTATCCCTATCCCTAAGATGGGCGAGCAAAAAGCGAGGACAATCTTCGGGATAGGCCTTCAGAAACTGAGGGAATCCTTAAGACCGGCATCGAGGTGAGGTGATGTCAAACATGGGGATAGGGATATGCTTCAAACTGGTAAGTTTCCTTGCGTCGCTCGGTTGGCCCCTGGCCCACCGAGGCCACGCCGCCCGCGAAGGCGGCGCCCGCCTCCGGCGCCGCGGCGCCCGGCGCGGCCCTCCGGAGGCGCGGCGCGGCGAT